TCACGATGATTGATGCTAAAGTCTGTAACGCTGTGACCTAGACTACGTCGACAATGAGGTGTTACATTTGTGGAGCTACATCTAAAGAATTTAATAATTTGTCAATAAGAAAAGAAGTAAGATCAGATACATTAAAATTTGAATTGTCTATTCTGCATGCCAGAATCAGATTTTTTGAGAGCTCATTACATCTATCATATAAATTACCATTGAAGAAATGGCAGGCTAGATTACCGAAAGAAAAAGATATAATCAAAGAGAGGAAGAAAAACATCCGACAATAATTTAAAGATGAAATCGGATTAATGTCGATGTACCGAAATTTGGGTTTGGCAACACCAACGATGGCAATACCAGCAGAAGATTTTTTATGGACCCTGATCTATCATCATCTCGAATAATTGGTGTGGACTCTCGACTGATATACAGATTTAAAGTCATTTTAGAAGTTATTTCTAGTGGGCATAAAATTGATCTTGAAAAATTCATTGTTTATACCTTCGATACGACTAAATTATATGTTGACTTATATTCATGGTATCCGATATCTCCCACAGTACACAAAATTTTACTTCACGGACCCATTATTGTAGCTCATGCTCTGTTATCTATCGGGCAATTATCAAAGGAAGCCGCTGAGGCTAGAAACAAACACTTCCGTGTATATAGAGAAAGTTTCTCTAGAAAATGTTCTCGAGAAGCTTATAATATGGACATAATCAATAAACTTCTATTAAGTTCTGACCCGTTACTAACAAATATGAGACCCGTACCAAGAAAGAAATCTAAACCATTTTTAAAAGAAATTGGATATGCTTCTTCCCACTGACTCGATGCCAAGAAGAGAATATATTTCAATAGATGAAAATAATGTTGATTTTGAGGATAAAATACACTCATCAGATGGAGAAATTTACAGTTTGTCTAGTTGAATACTTATTAATGTGCAATATTAAGCTTTCTTAATTATTAAAATATTTTTACATATATATTTGCACTTTATTTCATGAGAAACTTATACGAAATCTTTATAATGGTTATATATATAATTAGTAGCACATTTTAAACCGAAATTCGTCGAAAAATAGTTTTGGCCAACTTTTTGGTACAAACATCCCATTGTGCGCCGTTTCTTGTCGTTTATTGGTAGGTCATTCTACGAACATCCATGCGAGTAAAACCATAATACTTTGATTCCATCAAAAGTAAGTACTCCACAAGTTTCTTTTCTAGATTTTTAGGGAGTATTGGCCTTTTTCCTAGCTTCTTCATGACAACGTCTTCGGGTGACAATTGTGTTTCTTGAACCAGTCTATGCAATGTCGTTTTCGGAACTGCAAATCTTTTAACCGCTTTCTTAAGCCCCATCTCTTTTTCTCTGACTAAAATAATAGCCTCTTGCATTTTAGCCTTATCCTAAGCCTGCCTTTTTTTGGTGGTGTTGGGTCTATAGTTTTCTGTAGCAATGGTGGCATCTATAGAAAAATATAACCAAACTTTTTAAAACGTATATGTAATATGGAACCTGGATCCATATTAAAAGCACCTTATAGACCTATTAACATCATCATCTTTAAAAACAATACTGGTTGCAGCAAAACAAAGAGAACTAAATATTATAAAATACGTAGGAAAGTTAGATTACACTCTATACTTAAAGTGTTTGGCTTTAAAAGTTATCTATTAATCATAAATAATTTTAAGTAAACATAGTTTTACATAGCTTTCAAACATTCGGAAATTAACGAAAGAAAAATATGTTTACTATTCGATCACCATAACAGAACTAGCGAATCTAGTGACGGCCCAAAGAATAACCTAATAAACAAGTTTTAGTTGACGCCCATAGAGTGCAGCTCAATAAGTTTCAGATATTGAGAGGTTCCATAATATCAATAAGGTTTCATATTATCACCTTTTCTGCTAATAGTATTAATATATTTTTTTTTGTTAACAGAGGGGAAATCCTTATGGATACCTCACCCTCCTTTGGGGGGTGGGGGGGTTATGCCGAACTATTACCGGCTAAAACCTCCCCGGGGTGTTTGCCAGGCAGGCCGGAGTGGGTGGAATCGGAGGAACTACGCCAGCATTCCCTCCCCGACACCTCGGCCCTAGGGCTCTCCGGGAACCCCTCGTCCAAGTACCGCGCCTCGACCGGTTGTCCGGTCGGGTTGGCCTCCTGGTCCGATTGGAGGAGAGAGGGGACACTCACCCTCTCTTCTAGTCCCCCTTACTAGTCGAGGGGGGCGGGAAGTGGGACCCGTCTCCAACCGGGATACCCACTCCCCTTTTCCTCCCTTACCGTCGCGCAGAGGGAGGCAGGCCCTAGACCTGTCGCCCCTCCTCCGCGGACGGAGGCGGTCGAGGCAGTCCCCGAGGAATCGGAGGCTCCTCGACCGGCGCCACCTCGGACCCGCTATCTAGGCTGGGGGACGCCGCCCTCTCCGTCGCTCCCTGCGATGCCAGGACGGCGCTCCCATTCGGCGGCCTCCTTACGGGACATAACGTCCTCCGTGAAGGAGGCCGCCGTCGACCAGATCTCCTCAATCCCGCACATGGCTTTTATCAGACGCGGGAGCGAGAGGTCTTCCCCGGCGCAGTCCACTGCCTGGGTGAGGACACAGCGCTGCTGGTCCCATGCTTTGCACAAGACCAGCGTATGTTGCGCAGTATCCTCAAGCACCGGGCAGTGGTGACATCGGGTAGTGGGCTTCTTTTGGATCTGGTGCAGGAACCGGCCAAAGCACCCATGGTCGGTTATCAACTGCACAAGCCGGTACGTGAGTCCGCGTCCCCTCCTCGTTCCTTCCTGCTCGCCATTTCGGCGAGACAGGGGAGAACGGTTTCGGCCGTTTGGAGCTCAGGTCCGCGCGGGGAGGGGGGTCGGGCAGCATGGCTTCCCACCGCACCATAACCCGGGCTCTGGCCTGGGACCTCAGGGCCGCTAGGTCCCTGGCCAACACCACTTCCATCTCCCCGCGAAGCTCCCACACCCTCCAATACAAGGTGCATCGCTCTTCGGCGATGCGTCTGGCAAGCACCAGGCCGGCTTTTCTGACCCGGGAGGCCAATCACCTGAAGTGCGGCCCGAAGTCCCACCTGCCGTCCAGTATCAGGCCCAGGTATTTCATGCTGGGCCCGATGCGGACGCGGACTCCGTCTACCGCGAACTAGGACTCTGGTGGCGCCCCACGGCTGCCGTCGTGAAAATAGACGGCCTCCTCTTATGGGGCGCCACACTGAGTCCCAGGCTCCCTGGGCCAATGGAGCCCACCACCGATACCAGCGCCGCCTCCATTCGAAGGTTGGCATCCCCCAGTTCTCCCCCCAGTCACCACTAGTGTCTCATCTGTGTAGCAGATGACGTGGCAGCCAGGGGGAAGGGTGGAGCGAAGCACCCGGTCGAATGCGATGTCCCACAGCAGGGGGCCGAGTACCGACCTCTGCGAGACACCGCATTGTATGGTCCGTCGACCTTGAACCCCACCTCTCATCGAGTAGGCGAGGTCCCCGAAGCAATCGGCCAGAATTCGCTGGAGGTAGACGGGCACCTCGTAGTGTTCGAGGGTCTGTCCGACTAGGGCAGGGTGTTGAAGGCGTTGGTGATATATAAGGATACCGCTAACAACACACCGCCTTCTTCCTCCACGACCACCCGGGTCAGGTCCCGGACCCGCTGGATCGCGTCCAGTGTGGAACGTCCGGACCTGAACCCGTAATAGTAATATATGAATATTACAGGTGTATTTATATTGAACGTCTTGTATACTAATGTCTTTATTTATTCTAAATTTATTCTGAAATATATTTATGAATAAAAATTAATTTTTCTTAATTTGTTTGCAATTTGTTTACAATTTGTTTAAAAAAATTCTTTTTCAACTAATTTGAAGCACCAATAATCATTGCTAGGACCCCTGCCAGAAACCGTACAGCTACTTTTTCCATATCTCTACTGGTCTAGGCATGAGCTGGAGTGAGTACATTCATATAGAGATAGTTTGTAATTTTTTTACAACAAATGAAACGGAAAATCGAAAATGTAACATATGTTTCTTTAATGATTTTTCCCGTAGAATCAATTGGCTTGGTTGGTTCTACAGAAAAATTAATTTTTCTTAATTTGTTTACAATTTGTTTAAAAAAATTTTCTTAACCAATATAAATCACCAATAATCATTGCTAGGAATCATGCCAGAAATCCAATAGTTACGTTTTTTATATCTCAATTGGTCTAAGGAAGGGCCTTAATGAGTTAACAGAGTTTAGTAGTAACAGTATAAATATTAATTTAAAAGTGGCAAATATGAAAGTACACTTTCGTTACTTTAAATGAGTTTATTATTGCAAATTTATAAAAAAAAGATTAAAGAACTTGGTGAGAAACTTGATATAATTTTTTATTTAGTTGATTGAAAAATATTAAAGTTTAGATATAAAATAATAAGTAAATATCTTTGCAACATATTTTTATCAAATTTTTACAAGCTACACTATTGTATTATTAAAACATTATTGCAACACAACTAGAATATTTTTAACATGTGAAAATGTTTTGAAAATTGCAGAAATTAAAAAGACAATTGATCGAAACAAATAGGGTTCAACAAATAAAATCCTCTCGAATTTTGATAACTTTTACAGATTTGCGCTATACAAGTGCAATAATACTATCTAACAGCAAAAAGTCGTTAAATTGTTAAATTCTATAACACAACAATCTAAAGAAATTTTTTAGAAATTACAAATTTCACATTTCTATAACTTTTGAATCATGCCAACTAATCGGAGAGAAAATTCGTGAGTTATGCAAAATTTAAAATAAAATTATAAATACATATACACATAAGGCAGTTTTAAAGTAAACAGAAATTATTAAATATAAATAAAAATAAATTCTTTCTCATCAATTTTTTTACATTAGTATATTGTTTTTGAAAAATTTTTTATCACAGTTTTGCATTTGAGCAGGCCAATTCAATACAACTCACATGTCATACGTATTTTTTCACCAAATTTTTATTTAATATCTTAATAAGTATCATAATTTGTAACATAATAAAAGGCATTTTCGCTTCATAATTTTTATATACAGATGTATATGTTGTGTCAGACACTCTGTATAACTGGAATTAAAATAAGAGGAGAATAGGATTAAGATTATAAAGTAATTTTCATAAAGACAAAAATATTATGAATTATACTTAAAGATAAATTACACTTAAAGATAAAAATATACTTAAAAGTTAATTCCTAATTTTCCTGATTATTTTTGAAGTACTCCGGCCATGTCACTTTTTCTATCCAGGGGATATAGTGATAGACTCGAGTATATATAGTAGGTACGATGCTTCCGCACAGTCGTCCTACACTCGTAATACCAATTATGTTATATATATTGTCATGAATTGGGTTAAAAACGGCCAGAGGTCCTCCGCTGTCACCCTAACAAACATGTAACATATTACACAAGATATTGGCTTCTAGTGGAACATAAAACTGAAACTTTTTATTTTTGCGTGGATAATAGAAACTATTATTTAAATAATTTTTCAGAATTTTTTATTTTTCGATACTTTTCTGTTCCCAAGTTATCTGATATTGATCAAATAGTATAACTGATTATTTTATTTATATCTAGATTTAGATTCAGAAGTTACAATAAAATATTGTTGAAATTAACTATCGGTTGTGGGGAAACAATTTTAATAAGAAAGAGTAATTTATATATTATTAAATGGATATTCTCGACTCGAAACAGAAATCAATATATTACCGGGCAAGTGCCTTTTTCTTCTTCTCCCGCACATATTTGCCATTCGCCAACAATGCCTTGTGCGAGATTGGTAGTGCTATCGGCATCGAAAAAGCTTTCATTGCAGGACTGTTGCGGAATCAAACTGAGCGTCACTTTCAGTAAATTATCGGAGCCATGTTCTGCGGCTATAGTGAAACAATACAAAGTTATCCAAAGTTATTCACAACAAAAATTCTTATTATAATATTCCATAATCCAATTTTTTCCTAATGTTATGTATCCTAATCAAGAAACTATTAATGTGTAAATGATTTACTGTGTGTTTTTCCATATTCAAAACCATTTACAAGTTATGTTGTTATAGCTCCTCTCAATGGTAGATATAAAAACATGTAAACAAAAACACGTACTTCCATTTGAAAAATTTATACCTTGACATTCTAATCTCTTACAAAATGACCTTCAGAAAAAAAACTTTTTTGTCATCATAATTACTTCCTTTAATAAAATTCCTTCTTTAATTTTTTCATATTATCAAAAACACGAGTGAGAAATTTAGAGATGTTCAATTTAAGTGGACATCTTATCCACGCAAACATATTCATTTAAATATACTCTATATAATAAATAAATAAATAAACATATGTATTTTTTAACATAAATCAATTTCTATAGTATATTCCACATGTAAAATTATTAAAATAAAGTAATAAGAAAATAAATATTTTTCGAGCTGTTTTGTATTTTTTATCCTAATATTTTTCAGTACAAGATATTAAATATCTCGTAAACTGTTAGCAGATTTCTTATGTACTTTGTATTTTACAGTTTAAGCACTTTCCTCAATATAGTTTGGGACAGACAGCTGATGATCTGATGACAGAATTTAACTTCTGACAATTCAACCAAAACAATTTCTTTTGTTAGATTACAATCTATTATTATAATAGGTTTGGGGTCGATCTGAGATCAGATTCGTAATCAGCGATCCCAAAACCCCATATATACAGTTTCAGTCCAGGTTTCCGGGTTTATAATTCAAAGTTTACAGGTTTAATGTGAATGCTCATGAGGTTGTTGGGCTATAACGATGCAGGGTTTAGAATTCATCATGTTATCTTAAAATGGCCGTAATTTTGCAAGGAAAAATCGTAGATGACCATTCGATAGCTCATTTTAAAGGGAAAGAATAGTACTAAATGATGCAATTAGAAGAAAAGAGCTAAAAAATTTTGTGCGTCCTATACATAATCTCAAAAGTAACCCAAAAAGTCATTTTTCGAGTATATAACTTCAAATATCTCAAAATCCTGACGTGATGGGCCAATTCTGACCTCGGATTCGGATTCTACGCAGAAAATTACTTGGGAAACGACCCCCAGCTGCCCAACAACAAAACCTTGTAGACTTGTGTTATCGGCTTATATTTAAAGTTGCATCGAAAGAAACATCCAGACCGTTTTGATACTAAGCATATACTCGTTTTAATAATCGTTTACAAAAATTTTGTCCAATGAAGTAAAAAAGTGCAATGAATGGTCACAATTATGAGCTACTAAGCAACTTGCACGATAATTCGTTATACATATTATTAGCTGCAGTGATAATATCAGGTGTAGTAAAAAGAAATCCATTATTTTTCCAATAGATGGCTTTAGTTATCTGTATCTCGCGTTGTATAAGTCCGATCGAGTTCCACTAGATGGCGTTAGAAAGATGAGATTTCGTACTAAAAAAACTTTTGTGACAGTTTTGTGATTAGTTGACTCAGTTTTGTTTGAGCGCGCGTCAAAGATGGACACTAGCAAAGAGAAAATACGCTATATTTTACAGTTTTTCTTCGATAAAGGCGAAAACGCAAGCCAGGCGGCTGAAAATGTGAATAGTGTTTATGGTCCTGATACTGTAACAGCCAATCACGCGCAATTTTGGTTTCGTCGGTTCCGTTCCGGTAATTTCGATGTCAAAGATGCACCACGCACTGAAAGGCCAATTGTCGAAAATATCGATAAAATCATGGACATTGTCGAGTCCGACCGTAAGCACTGTTTCGACTGTCCAAGAGCTAAAGATTGCACAAAAAACCGTTTGGAACCATTTGAATAAGGCTGGATACAAAAAGAAGCTCGATGTATGGGTGCCACACGAGTTAACGAAAAAAAACCTCATGGACCGAATTTCCATCTGCGAATCGCTGCTGAATCGCAACAAAATCGACCCATTTCTGAAGCGGTTGGTCACTGGTGAAGAAAAGTGGATCACTTACGACAACGTCAAGCGAAAACGGTCGTGGTCGAATCGCGATGAGCCGGCGGAAACGGTGGCCAAGCCAGGATTGACGGCCAGGAAGGTTTTGCTGTGTGTTTGGTGGAATTGGCAGGGAATTATCTACTATGAGCTGCTCCCCTACGGCAAAACTCTTAACTCGGAACTGTACTGGCAACAATTGGACCGTCTGTAGGAAGCAATCGCCCAGAAGCGGCCAGCTTTGGCCAATAGGAGAGGAATTGTGTTCCATCAGGACAACGCGAGGCCACACACATCGATAGTGACTCGCCAGAAGCTCTGGGAGCTTCTTGTTGGGAGGTTCTTATGCATCCACCTTATAGACCGGACCTGGCACCAAGTGATTACCATCTGTTCCTGTCCATGGCGAACAATTTTGCTGGTGAAAAATTCGCTTCAAGAGAGGCTTGTGGAAATCGACTGTCTCAATTTTTTGCCAATAGGGACGAGGGCTTCTATGAGAGAGGCATAATGAAATTACCTTCAAAATGGCAACAAGTTATCGAACAAAACGGCGCATATTTGACCTAAATCGGATCATTCTAACTATGGTAATTAAAGCCTTCAATTTCATGCAAAAATAATGGATTTCTTTTTACTACACCTGATATATGAGGTATAAGTGATAATATCCGATGTTACAACTGCAGCAAGAGATTCAGGAAACAGCCCAAATATTTTTAATATTCTCTTATCTATTAGGTAAAATTATAATGAAGGATCAATATCCGCACTATGTGCTATTTAAGACTTCTGTCATAAAATCGATTACTATGCAAATCAATCACTAGCCACGTGAGCAATGGTTCGAATTGATGTTTATTGAATGTGCTCTTAACTTTTTACCGGAAAGAATATGTTCAAACTGTGTTGTAAACGAGTGTATATTATGATCATGTATTCTTCCTCAGCCCATCTTCATTCATTCCTGAAGGTCTCTTCCAAAACTTTCCATGTCTCTCTATCAGCTATCATCTGCCGCCAGTTATTCCCCGCAACCATCCTGATATCATCCAGCCACGTGTCCCGCCCGTCGCCATTTCAGGCTAGTAATCCGTCTCTTCACATCCATGACTCTAGTATGTCTCCTAATCTCTTTGTTTCGCATTCTGTCTCTGAGACTGATCCTGAGCATTATTCTTTCCATAGTTCTTTATAAAATGTGATGGTTTCTAGATTATATGTTGCCACCGAAAGCATACAGGATTCGTATAACTTCCGTTTTAAATTAATGGGTATCTCTAGGTCTCTCATGAACTCGAGTTTTCCAAACTCCGTCTACGTCAGTTCTATCCTTCTTGCTGCTTCCGCAGTCTAATTTTCCTTGTCTAGTCTGATGTGATCGAGGTAAACGTATTGCTCCACTACCTCTAGGACTTTGTTTTCAATTGTAATACTGGCTGCGTCTGGACTCATGATCTTAGTTTTTTGAAGGTTCATCCTCAATCCAACCCGTGCTAATTCTCCATGAAGCTGTTCCAGCATATCTATCAGTTCCTCCGAGTCGCTGCTTATTAATACGATATCGTCAGCGAATCTCAAGTGGTTCAAATATGCGCCATCGATGTTAATGCCCTTTCTCTCCCAAGACAAATTTTTGAAGACGTTTTCCAGTGCCAGAGTGAATAGCTTGGGAGATATCGTGTCTTCCTGCCGCACGCATTTCTCTGCCGGGATCTTTCCTATTATCATGCCTTCCTTCAGCTTTATCTGGAGTGTTGCATTGACATGCATGTCTTACAAGGGGAGGACGCATGGGCCGGGAACGGCCCAACGGTTTGGAACGAAACTTACGGAGTTAATAGTACTTGACTACTAATAACTCATGGTAATAGCATACGACGCAATACCTCTTCGTTTTCAAGAAAAAACGGTCTAAAGAAAAGAGCCAACAAAGTGTACGAGTTAGTAAGAAGGGTATTCAATGAAGCAGCGTAGCGCAGCAGCGAAGGTAACGGACTACCGAGCCGACGGCTGAGGTTCGATCCCTGCTGTACAGTTTTTTTTTATTCTGTAAGCATAAAAATGAAACAGAAAACATTAATAAGTAATAAAACTGCGTTTCTTAAATGTATTAGTGTTTGTTAAATATATTATTAATGATTTAAATTGTAAAAAAGCCGTAAATCTTATAATACACTATAAAATATATAGTGTATGAGAAAAATTTTATATAATAATTGCAATGGAAATAGGAGTAAAAATATATTATATTTTCGCTGAAGGATTTTTCGACAATAATTCATTATTCTCGTAAATAGAATTCGCATATACGAGAGCATTAGTGAATTTACCTTTAAAATCTTCATTTTCAAAAGATCTTTCTTCTAGCGATTCTACATCAACTATTTTGTTTGTTGAAGGATTCTCTGACATTGTTATGATATATGTAATTTAAATATGATCACCGAACTGCTCTGTATCACTAGTAAACGCACACTGCTGCTTGCTCTACTGACGATTGTTCCGATGCTTGAATCATTTCGTCATTCTTACGATCGTTTAGAATGACACAAAGGAAATTTTTGAAGGGGGATTGCCAGAAGAGATAAAGACACAACACAACTTCAACACAACATAGAGAGTTGCAACAGAAACAAATATTTTATACATACGATATAAGATTGCGAAAAATTATCTCATACTAGTTTAACCCTTTGCGGTCGGCCGATTTCGAAGAGATCGATAAACATTGATATCTGTAAGTTGATCTAAAAATTTAAATCTCGAGAGGATAGTTTTCTTCCATTATCGCTAGCCTCGTTTGCCGTGCCGCACGCCAGGCGATCATGAATGCCAGCCTGGCGGCACCAACTTCTACGACGACTTGCGAATGCCGCCATAGTGGCGGCATCGACCGCAAAGGGTTAATAGCACATCTATATATTTCATAACAATATTTTTATTCCTATTTCCATTGCAATTATTATATAAAAATTTTCTCATACACTATATATTTTATAGATAACATTTACGTTTTTTTTGCAATTTAAATCATTAATAATATATTTAACAAACACTAATACATTTAAGAAACGCAGTTTTATTACTTATTAATGTTTTCTGTTTCATTTTTATGCTTACAGAATAAAAAAAACCATACAGCAGGGATCGAACCTCAGCCGTCAGCTCGGTAGTCCGTTACCTTTGCTGCTGCGCTACGCTGCTTTATTGAATACCCTTCTTACTAACTCGTACACTTTGTTGGCTCTTTTCTTTAGACCGTTTTTTCTTGAAAACGAAGAGGTATTGCGTCGTATGCTATTACTATGAGTTATTAGTAGTCAAGTACTATTAACTCCGTAAGTTTCGTTCCAAACCGTTTCCTGGTCGATGCGTCCTCCCCTTGTTAGATAAGGTTTGAGTATCGAGAATCGATTCTCGTCCCATCCATTGCTGCCAGTATTTCGACAGATATTTGCCCATATTTTGACAGAATCGAACGTCTTCTGGTAGTTCATGAAGGGCAGGTGGAGAGGAATGTTATATTTTGTCACTTTCTCAAGCGTGCGCATGACCTGCAAGTGGTTCACCATAGTATAACTTCTCTTAAATCCTACCTGCTCTATTGGTTGATAGAAATCTAGTTTGATGGTCAAGCGGTCAGTGACTATCCTCATCAACAGTTTGTAGAAGACAGATAAAAGGCTGATCGGTTGGTAGTTCTTCACACTCGCGCAATCGCCCTTTTTGAATAATAAGAAAATCTCAGCGTTTCTCGCCGTTGGGATTCGTTGTTCCTGCAGACATTTATTCAAGAGGACAAGCAGTGCCCTTTTCAACGATTCTTCTCCCTTCTTAAACATCTCACTTGTCACTCTGTCCTCTTCAAGTGCCTTCCCATTCCTTATCTTTCTCAGTGCGGCCGTCAGCTTACTTTTATTAATCTCTGGTATATCTTCGGAATCCATATTCAGGATGTTGCACCTTTTTCTCTTCGCCATACGGTTCGGCTTCGAAATTGTACTGTATAGCCCCCAGTAGGAGTTTTCGATGATTGTTATAATGTCTGTTCTTGTGATGACAATTTCTCCTTACTCGTTCTTTATCTTGAAGATCTGCTCTTTTCCCCGGGCCATTTTGGAAGAATCGTATATTGGCGTTATCGGTGGACCAGCTGAGTATTGTGGTTCTTCATATTCTTTCAAATTTCCCTTTTTATGATTTTGTTAAGGACTTTGTATATTTCGCTATCCCTGTCCATTCGTCGGCGCTCTCCTAATAAAGGACCTGATATCAATATTCAGTGTGCTATCCCTTGGTTTGATTCGGGTGCATATCCTTTTTGTTGCCTTCTGTATACTACTGGTGATCTTTACGGATAGTTCATTCAAATTCAAAATTCCGTTAGACTTCCGTTAGTTCTACCTTTTTCTGAATGATTTCTTGATATTCAAATCTCCTTTGTTCTAGCTGAGGTTGGGTAAACATACTTCTTTATTATTAGGTAAATCGGAGTTCTATAGATCAGGTGTTTTAGATCGCTGTGCATAATTATCTCCACTCCTCCGATGTGTGAGCTGGCTTTATTACTGTTTTGGAATAGTAGATGTCCAGACGTGAGCACCGTCGCCGTAGCCTCACCTTCCAAACGTGTCTCATAAACTCCCAAAATGTTCTACTTGATATGCTGCAGCTCTTGTTCTTCAAGATGTTCCTCCCGTCGTATAGTGCGAATATTGTATGTTGCAAGTAATAATTTCCTACTCGGACCGTTTCTTGTTTTTCTTTCCATCGAATTTGTCTCCCCCAAAATCCTTGAGGCAGATTGACGAATTAGTGCGAGATTCTGAGCTTCGCGCTTTATTCGTCAAGGGTAGTTTTGTTTTAAAATCTCACATTTCATGTATGAAAGGACTTGGCAGTTCACCACGCTCATTAAGCGGATTAATGACTACCTGTTGGTCCGCGGAGACTATTTTATTTCATCTCTACCTTCTAGGTAGGCCTAGCGAGCGTATCCCTATCCGTTATCCGGAGACGCGGTATCTAGGGGTTACGGGCTGTCCCGACACCTATGATCATGTAAGATCTATAATATTTTCTTTCTTCAGAATAATGTAATTATAATAAAGTACGTTCTTTATAAATACAGTTTAATTAACTCGATGCTATTTCAATGATAATTGACAAAGTCATGTGTATTTCATTGTTGATTAAGCAAAGTATAAATTTTGTGTATATATCATGACCATGTGAAAAATTTATAATTCCTGTTTTTTAGATCACATAATTATAGGAAAATTTTTTTGTTATCTCTTACCCCAATCAACACGTCCCCATCCAGTAGCAACTGCTTCGCCATCAGTACCAGTATCAGGCAAATCAACCGGGAGACATGCCGGCCTGGCCCATGCGGTATAGGTAACTGGGGTTTCCAACTTCATTATGGCTATGTCGTGATACACCGACGGCCTTTTATAATCAGGATGCGATATTCTTTCGACGATTCTGATAGTTTGCGGATTTGCACTATCATTCATTCGCGCTAGATTCAAGTCGCCGACTCGTACCCACTTCGCGACTCCCCTTTAAGACGAAATATACTACTGTGATAAAAAAATAAGGTGAATTTTTCATTTAAACTTCGCGGGTACTATAAAACCATGAAATTATTTTTTGGTGGGTTGGTAGCACTGTCTTTGACATCTATGCAGAGTTTCATGTCAATATATTCAATTGCTGCAAAGCTGTACGTGTTTTTGTAAACATACAAAAGTGAGTTTTTCGATTTTTACTATGTCTGATTTTGTTGAGTAAAGAATTTGCATTAAATTTTGTTGAATGAATATTCTGCCGCGGAAACGTTGAGGATATTGCAGAAGGCCTTTGGTGATAAGGCTATGTCGCAAAAAAATGTTTACAAATGGTACAAAGACTTCAAAGAAGGCCGAGAACGAGTTCAAGACGAACAGCGCCCCGGACGACCATCAACATCTGCCGATGAAAGCCACGTCAAGGAAATCAAAGATTTGCTGTTCGAAAATCGTCGATTGACAATTAGAGATCTTGCTGATGCTACGGGCATTTCATTTGGATCAACCCAAACCATTTAAAAAGACGTTTTGTGCCTCAAACGCGTCAAATCTCGATTGGTTCCAAAAACACTCAATTTTTTGGAAAAAAAGCATCGCTTGACATCTGTGAAACAATTCTGACTACCAGGACGTCATGAAACGTATCATTACGGGAGATGAGACTTGGATCTATGCATACGACCCGGAAACAACCGACCAATCGAACGAATATCGTGCAAAAGGTGAACCAAGACCGAAAAACCGCGCCAAAGTCGTTCAAAAATCAAGGTCATGTTGACAGTCTTCTTCGATTATCGCGGTGTTGTGCATTATGAATTTCTTCCGTCAGGCCAAACTGTTAACAAGGAATTTTATTTGAGTGTTATGCGTCGTTTGCGAGAAGCTATTCGCTTCAAGAGGCCAGAATTATGGGCAGACAATTCTTGGTTTTTGCACCACGATAATGCACCGTCCCACACTGCATTGGTTCTTCGAGAACATTTCGCCAAAAATTCGACCCATATCGTTCCACAACCACCGGATTCGCCTGATTTAGCACCGTGCGACTTCTGGCTGTTCAACAAACTCAAAAGACCGCTCCGAGGACACCGTTTCGACTCGATTGAGGAGATAAAAGCCGAATCGAAGAAAATATTGAAGGCTATTCCGGAAAAAGACTTCTCTGACTGTTTCGAGGATTGGAAAAAACGTTGGCATAAATGCATTGTGTCGGACGGGGAATACTTTGAAGGCGATGAAATTGATTTGGAAGAATAAATAAAGATTTTTCATTTATAAACAGATTCACCTTATTTTTTTATCACAGTAGTATCAAGGTAGATACATTAAGGTTTAGAAAGGGGAAAGGATGATTAACAAGATACATTATAGGCGAATTTGGCCTCAAAATGACCTTGACCTTTCACCTCAAGGTCAAAGTCAATGTCACCGCTAGGTGTCCCTCTGCTTATCCTATAACTTTTGTCTGAGGCATTTTTCGCTATCGCCCCTACCTGAGGAGATATTCCCGTGGACGGATTAAAATGGCCCAACCTGTATAGTTCGACTTACCAGTCTTGGTTATAAATACAATGGGCCGCTGTCAGTACTACTCTGTCGGAAATCAAGCTACCACCACATAGCCATAGTGTCTTATTCTCTCCATTTTCGAATCCAATGGCTGTCATGTGGGGAAATTCTTTCGGCACAGCTTTCTTACCTCCGGTGATGAATAAGCTTATTTGCCGCTTCCGTATCCTTGTGCTCATGGGACCGTTCATCGTCCCTGGTAATTTCAAGTCAAAATCTACCGCATTTTCTGCACATTCTATATAAAGAAATTACATTAAAATAAATATATGTGTAGTAATCACTTAGAAAAATTATAACTCAAGGATTATTTTTATTTTATTATATATAGTGTTTTCTAAGAAATAAGGGTATGTCAATGTTCATAAAATAGAGGAAACATGTCTTAATAAATATGGATTGAAAAGTTAATATTATTGATAAATTTAGTATTATTGTATAGTTGTATTAATATTGTTGTTATGAATAATTTATTTTAACTAAAACAAGTCACTCGTTTCTGATGCTTTTGTGCTTTCACAGTGCAGTAGAATGACATCATATTACTCTAATCAAAAAATGGCAGAAATGTATTTCATGTATGGCTGTGCATCAGAAGCGAGTAAATCACTTGCTTTAATTAAAATAAATTATTATTTATAACTCCGACAATATTAATTTTTTGACTTATTTTAGGACTTTATTCTTCCATTTTATGAATATTATCTTCCCTTAAAATCCTTTTCTTAAACACTCTATATAATAGTCACATACATCACACATATGCACTCGTATATGAGGAGAATTTATCAAACTGAATAAAAAAATTATTTCCAATTTTGTTCTTAAAGTAAATTAAAGCCAAATTAAAGCTAAATAAGTCTTTTCATTATTATTTTCTATCTCAACATGTAAGTATGAATGGAAAATATAAAATTTTGTAAAAGATATAAATCGTAACGTAAAATTTATTAGTTGCTACAATTTCTTTTATTTTAATCAATATTTGTATCAAATTTTTAACTATTTAACTCTTTATTAAAGAATTGAAACTTATTTCTCTTAAATTTCATATTACCGAATTCAGGTTATCGATTAAATGTACACATTATGTTTTAAACAGTTTGAATACTTTTTTCACTGCATTCGGAACATAGAAGATATCTAATGAAAGAAAGAACCTAATCTGTAAAAATTTTCTATAAATAAATTGCAATCTTATTGGGCCATCGGCTATCAGAACTGCACCTTAAAGAAGATATTCAAATTATTTTGAAAACTAGGACATACATGATATTTTCTTAACTTCTTAACTGTGGAGGTAGAAATGGATTAGTCGTGCCATTTTTGCATTGGAAAAAAATGTCGAATTTTTTTATGACATAATTATAAAAGTTCTTGGGACTGCTGAATCCAAATTTGACATCAAAATTTCAAAATTCAAAATGATGAAGTAAAAGTTTTAAATGTGAATTTTAAGAACATAAGAATACTAATAAATATCAATATATTAATAAAGAGAATACTATTTTGTCGAATCCGGACTTCAACTAGCGTTAAAAATAAAAATTATAAAAATAAAAAAATTAAAAGTTATATAAACAAAAAAAAATAAAAATTATAAGAACAAACAAAAATTATAAATTATAAAAACAGAAAAAATTAAAAATTATTAAAATCCCCGAAAAATTAAAAATTATAAAAATAAAAACAGATATAAAAATGGAGTCAAAAGCCTAAAGATATCCATTTTCATGAAAATCCGATTATTTTCAAAAATCTTACACTCCATATTAGATCTGCCATTTTGAATTCTGAAATTTGGTATCAAATTCGGATTCTGTGACCCTAGAATCGTATAGATACCTACGCAAGTAACGATAACTTTACTATTTTTTTTCTTCGATGCGCGTACAGGCGTCATTCACACTAGTGGTACGACTTTTTCATACGCGTATACGCGTCACCCACAGTCAAGGGATTAATTATATCCATTAGCTAATTGTAGCATTGATTATTTCCATTTTCAATGTTCCTCTTGTTATCCATCTTCTATTCAGAAATAAATTAGAATTACTTGCTCGCGCTAATGATCCTCTGCTGTTGTCAAATATCAAAGTCCGCGGCGTGCTTATTCTTTCGGTGGAGCTTGTGGTTAGTTTTGATGTTATCCTTTCCGTGGTGATATTCTTTCCGTTTTCATTGTTTGTCGGGCAACAGACTATCGGTTTAAAATGTATAAATCCGCATGTAGTTGGTGAGTTTCCGGCTAACAATGCGTCGTAAACTGGCGGGCAATCTTCCAGGAGCTTGCATACACCTGACGTCAAGAACCCGCTTGAATTGCTAATCGTACATCCTTCTGGAAATTACAAAAGTATCATTAGCGAACTTTAAAAAAACTTACTTTTAACATTTTGACAGTCGCTGCCATGTATATAACTTTATTTTTTAACAATTATCACTTTATAAAAAAGTATTTCGTCGGTAATAGTCTCTAATAACAACAATAATAATAATAACTTTACACGCTAAAAAAATATTAGATTTCATAGAATAATATTTAAATTAAATAATAAACCAAATAAATGATTAGTGGGTTTGTATGCCTGTAAAAAATTGTTATCTCATTTTACGGCTTAATTTTTTTACATGAAGCAAATATTGTTTTACAATAAAAAATATATTTTTTAATCAAAGCTCTTTTTATTTTTTTATTTTATTCAAAAATTTATTTCTATTATGTAAATAATTCTTTTAATTGCGAATATTGTGAATCAAAATAAAATTTTCTCTTAATTAAAAATGTGTTACTTTTTAACATATTTGCTATATATTAAATTAACACATAAATGAGAGTGGATGGATTTGAGACACATAAAATATGTTAAATTTAACACATCATTTCTTATAGTGTAGAATTGACGCTCCTGTGTTAAATAGATGTAGTGTTAAATAGAAATAGTGTTAAATAGATTGCCAATCAACGCGGTTTGACGGGTGAGGCAAGAGGGAAAAAGTAGGCGTAGCTTTTAAAAATCGCATTAAAAATAATAGTAATTCTGAGCATTGCTATAAGTAAATATACGCATATGCATGAAACAAAATCATATGTTCGCACGACATTGATAAATCAAATATTTTTAATTTAACGTTTTTGATACTTTTAATATCGAATATCTACCTCCAACATCCTTCCCATATATCGGTGACAGGATTAACGACAGGAGTAACGTTAGTAGCGTCAGTGAGAGGCTCGCCACGCCAGTTGGCATTCTTGATAACAGCCTTGGTCACAGGTTTCCGGTTCCAAGGACTCTTCGCAGCTAAAGACATACCTCGTCTGACTTGTCTTCTTGCACACATCCATTTGCTATCAATTTTCCTGGTCCCCACCATGTCGCAAACAGTCCTACGATAGAAATGGTGGCGGATTGTGAGATCATTTCATGTAAGCTTTTTTTCATTTCTTGTTTCAAGACGTATAATTAGCGCGCGTATTTTCGAGGAAAGTGATCATTCTCACAGTCATTTACAGTAAAATTAAATAGCATATAGTCGATAAATTATCAGCGTAAAACCCGATGCACGAAGTAAATAATTTCGTAGTAAGAAAAGAAACCAATACATATACGATGAATTCAATTTGTTCAAACTTTTCATTACAAGAAAGCTACTACTTTTTACAATATCTTGCGTAAATTTTACGCTTCCGTTGTCACAAATAGCAATAGAGATTTTTTATATGTATCGACTCAAGTTAGTTCTAGTTAAACATAAATACAATGGATTTTGATTCCTGGTTCAAGTATCTTATGTATAATATATTATTGAATACATATAATGCTATGTTTATATAGAAATTTAATTTTTTGCGTTAGATATAATCTGTTATTTTGCATAACGATGTTTACATTCCTATATTCTAATTTATTTGCAGGATTTTTTATATAACGTTAAAATATTATATAAAATAACAACGTTTACATTCCATATTATAATTTATTATTTATTCCTATACTATAATTTATTTGCGGGACTTTTTACATAACGTTAAAATATCCCGAGAAAGATTTAAAGAATAACGAAAAAGAATTTAATTTACTCTATGTTAATATTATTCACCATATTAGTATTAATATATATATACAGTATTAATATATATATACAGTAAAATGAATATTACAGATATATTTATATTAAACATCCTATAATAATGTTTTCATTTATTCTGAATTTATTCTAAATAGAAATATATTTATGAAGTCCTATATTAAGAAAACCTTGACATGATATACGGTAGAAGAATAAACAAACAGGTTAATTTATTTTGGAATGAGTAAGTTTAGTCATCAGTACACAAGTATTATAGATTTTAGAATTTATTCTACATAAGTGTACAATTATTATTTCCATAATATAATTTAATAACCGTATAATTGTATAATACTGTTACTTCCATAATTATCATTTAATTCGTTTTTTTGTATGGATCATACACTATCGGAAACTTTTGCATTAATAAACATCATACTAATTGTAGTCGTTATAACTATTAACTAAATTATATTTGTAGGCTACATTTCTTAAATTTTCATATTCAGGTCTCTCCATTACAGCTTATTTACTCCATCACGTAAAATTATTCACTAATTTTTATTAAGTTACAAACTTTTACATAATTGTTTATAAAATAGTAGATTATCGGATAGTAGATTAGAATAAAATAACCATGTTATTTTATTTTGATTTAATCTACATATATAGGAGGATTTTCCCACTTATTACCTGACACCTTATTTATATGTATAAAATAATATAATGAATAAATAAATAATATGAAACTGTATTCTCACCTTATTACTTTTATCGAGTCTCTCTCTCTTTCTTTTTCTCTGTCTCGCTCATTTGCATGTTTTCTCTTCCTGTGTTCTAAATAACATACCTTCTTATCTCTCTCACTTTCTCTTGCTCGCTCACTCGCATTCGCTGCTGCCTGCTCTTTCAGCGCGCTTGTAACGTCTCTGGTGTTGAAAAAGCGAGATACACGTTTTACCCATCTGAGCGTCTAGTATTTCTTAGTTCTTTCTTGAGTCGAAGTTTTCCGTGATTCGGACTTTATCTTAAAATATCTCCGTTTGGAGACAACATATACGAAAAATACGAGAATACTTTTCCTGCCATTTTTTGGCCGAATTGATTAAGACTAAAAAAATTTCGATCGGTTGAGCCATTGCTGAGATATCGATACCTCACCTCGTTTTAGTTTCGCGTAATACAGGTACGGCATTTGCCTCGCATCGTTCGGACGTACTTCACTGCACTGAACTTGGCGTGACGTACTATCACAGTATGTATGTAACGATCAAAACTTTTTGATCGTTACGCTGACTGCCGCTAAACATCACGTGGCAGTCAAATGAGCGCGCGCCCCTCCGAACCGCGCTACCACCGCGCCTGAAAGCGCTCACCGTCAGCCGACATTAACCGAACACCAGGCGATAACGCTCGGGAAAGATCGGCCGCCGAGCCGAGCTCGCGGCGTCGTCGAAAAGATAATCGGCGACCGCCGCATCCTCACGATTAATCCCGATGATAATCAGGATAATCCATTATGACCGAAAGAAACCGAGGATGGAAAATCACGGGTATATAATCCCGATGAAATTCGACCAGAGAACAGCCTTCTCGGATCGTTTTTCCTCAGAAGTATCACAGAGCATCTTCAGAGAGCCTCCAGAGAATCAAAAACAGGATAAGTAATCTACCAGGCCGCAGTCATCGGCAACTGCGATTACTTTCTGTCTTTGCGATCTAGAGATCGAGCGGCAAGTTTGCCGTTGCTCCGGTGAGTTTTCCGGAACGATCTCCCGTTCTTGTACCGTCTTTGCGATCTAGAGATCGAGCGACGAGTTTGCCGTTGCTTCGGTGTGTTTTCCGGAACGATTCTCATTATTGTGCCGTCTTGCGATTTAGAGATCGAACAGCGAGTTTGTCGTTGCTCCGGTGCATTTTCTGGAACGATTCTCATTATTGTGCCGTCTTGCGATTTAGAGATCGAACAGTGAGTTTGTCGTTGCTCCGGTGCGTTTTCTGGAACGATTCTCATTATTGTGCCGTCTTGCGATTTAGGGATCGAATGACGAGTTTGTCGTTGCTCCGGTGCGTTTTCCGGAACGATTTTCATTATTGTGCCGTCTTGCGATTTAGGGATCGAATGACGAGTTTGTCGTTGCTCCGGTGCGTTTTCCGGAACGATTTTCATTATTGTGCCGTCTTGCGATTTAGGGATCGAACGGCCAGTTTGTCGTTGCTCCGGTGTGTTTTCCGGAACGATTCTCACTATTCTGTCAATTTTACTATTTAGAGATCGAGCGGCGAGTTTGCTATTGCTCCGGTGAATTTTCCGAAACGTTCTCGTAATTGTGTCTTCTGTTTTCCACTCTACTACGTATAGAGGATTCTGAGAAGGCAGGGGCACGGCCGCATATAGCTTCCTCGTCACCACCAACGAGGAGCTCCAGCCGCACGGTCCGGCGGAAAACGCTAGGAATCCTGCTATCAAAAGCGCGTCATACCTTCTGATTCTACCAAATAGCGATGTCACGCTTCCTTCGTAAAGGGACTGGCAATTAGCCTCATTATACGCATTGTCGGGGGATATTCATCGGAATCACTAAAGAAACACACCGAAAGTTCTTTTGGACGATCGCGAGCCTAGCGCCTCGGTTCACAGCCACGCTCTTGTATAGATACTGCGGTAGAGATAACGCGACGCGACATGTTTTTACGTACGTTCTTGCGACTAGCAGCCGTAGTCCGAGACAAATGCCCGGCCTTTTAAAACTGGCCAGATACACCGGCAATATCCGTTTAGAATTCCCATTGCTAGGGACAGCTCGATCAGCTGTTCCAGCTCGATCCGCTATATGTTAGGTGCGCAACTAAGTTTCCGGGTTTCACACATGGATGGCGCTAACGACACATGTAATCGATATACATGTCTGAAGTTGTTTTTTTATAGCTTGGACATCTGTTAACAATAACCAGTCGTAGTACCAACACATATCGCAACGCAAAAATATTTTTTCTAACAACGAAGATGTCGAGTTTTGTGCCAAATAAACAGCATTTGCGGACAGCTTTGCTTTTCTGCTTTAACTTGAAAAAAAGTGCAGCTGAAGCACGTCATTTGCTTGAGAAGGCCTACGGCGAACATGCACCATCGAAAACTACCTGTGAAGATTGGTTTAAACGCTTCAGAAGTGGCGATTTCGACACTGAGGACAAGGAGCGCTCCGGAAGACCAAAAAAATTGAAGACGCCGATCTGCAAGCGTTATTGGATGAAGATGATACGCAAACACAAGATAAACTTGCGGAGGCATTAAACATGACTCGCCAAGGTATTTGCAAACGTTTACATGCCATGAGAAAAATTCAAAAGGGAGGAAAATGGGTGCCGCATGAGTTGACTGAGAGACAGATGGAAAATCGAGCCACTTCCGAAATTTTGCTTTTGCGGCATGAAAGAAAGAGTTTCTTGCATCGAATTGTTACTGGCGATGAGAAGTGGATATATTTCGAGAATCCCAAACGCAAAAAATCGTGGTTTTCACCTGGCGAAGCATCAACATCGACAGCACGGCCAAATCGCTTCGGAAAGAAGAATGCTCTGCGTTTGGGGACCACAAAGGAATCGTATACTATGAGATGCTGAAACCGGGCGAAACTGTCAATGGGCATCGCTACCGACAACAACTGATCAATTTGAACCATGCATGCATTGCTCGAAAAACGGCCAGAATGGGACACGAGACACAAACGAGTGATATTGCAACACGACAACGCTCCGTGCCATCGCGCTTCCATCGTCCAGGACACCATCAAAACGCTGAAATCCGCACCTGCCGTATTCGCCAGACTTGGCCCCTTCCGATTATCACTTGTTCCGGTCGATGGCGTATGGCTTGGCTGGGCAACACTTGGCCAATTTCGAAGAAGTGCAAAATTGGTTGGATGAATGATTTCGGTCCAAAGACGCGTCGTTTTATCGTCGCGGTATTCATGTATTGCTAGAGAGATGGCAAAAATGTGTAGCTAGCGAGGGACGATACTTTGAACAAACCATTTTTTGTATTTCTCTTGAAATTGTCTATTTTCCATTGATAAAAAAAACCCGGAAACTTAGTTGCGCACCTAGTATATGTATATAATCTCTCCCCGGTCATTCCGTTTATGTAAATTTTGTCACGCTTCGACACAGGGAAATGTCCCTCTATTATCTCATGGATAAAACTACATCTCAGCATTAATAACATCGATATAGTGTATACGAAAGCGATTGTCTCCAGCGACCATAGCGAAACAAAAACCTCGCCACACAAAACAACACCCAAACAGTGGGACATCACGCGACGACACGCGGTCGCCGCGTGCTTAAGAATAGAAGAATAAACTGTCACTTTCTACGCACGCACGCACGCACGCACGCACGCACGCACGCACGCACGCACACACAGGTTTACGATTATTAAACGTTCATCTTCTTCTAAAAGATTCCTGCGCCCGAATCATTGCGAATGATCGCGAGCATAGGGCCGAATCGATAAGAAAAACCGAACCCGGTGGTGTGACCGTTACATGTACAGTAGCGCAACTCGGCCGATTTTGTGAAGGCAAAAACGGAGTGCACATGCTCGACCAGAGGAATTGTAGAGGAAAAAGGAAGAAAATATGGTTTCTTTCTTTCTAATTACTACTTTCAAGGGAGATGTAGAGGAAAAAGGATAGCAGATAGTGATTCTTTTTCTAACCAATGAAAAGGCACGAATTTAAATGTTCGACGCATTTGAAATGCATTGAAAGATTGAAAGCAAACTCGATTAATTTATAATTAATATTATACATTATTTTAGTGTAGTGTAAAGTGTCGTTTATTCAGTGAAACTGCAGATAAATTGTAAAGTCATTCATCTAACAAATTTTTAAATATTATATAAAACCGATTTAACTATATTAATATTATATAAGTTTATAATCCTTTTTATAGAGAACACTTATCTAATCTTAGCTCTGCTTCAAGTTATATTATCATTTATATGCAGAATTTTTTATATAACATTAAAATATCGCGAGAACGAAAAAGAATATTAAATAATAACGAAAAAGAGTTTAATTTACTTTTTGTTAGTAACGATGACAATAGCAAATGATGACTTTCAGCAGCAGATTTAATCGACGTACGAATTCCATCATATTTCTTAATAATTTTCTTAACTATTTCGTAAGTTTTTGCACATTTGATTTCCTTTAGATAAGAAAATCTATTCTAGCGCCTATTCTAGAGCAATTTGAGAGTAGGCTGAAGAGTATTTACAACATATTGTTTATTGTATAGCGATTTGCGAATAGGTTGAAGAATAAAATCTCGTGGAGACATAGTTCGGATTAAAGCAAATATAAAGGTCCCATACTATTTTGCGATATTCGCGATAATTATCGAATTATTAATAGCAGAAATCTGACAAGCGCGCGCCGAGATGGATGATTAGAGAAGCGTCGCAGTCTCCCGAGTTATAGCACCGCCCAGTCGACCTAGCAACTGTTGGCAGCGAGACGTAAGTGCAGCGAGATAAAACATAAATAGCAGCATATTGTTCTTCCTCTCGCCGGGTCGCAAGATAGATGATCATCTTTTATTTATGATCGTCGTCTACAACAATGATCCGTCGAACACGTCTTCAGTCGCGTAGAATCGTTTGATATGCGTCGTGCTCTTTCGCAACAAAAAATGAAACTTACTCCAAAGGAATACGCCGATATGATTATTGCCTAGCGGGTTAGCGGGTGAAAGTACGGATTAGTGGGCGAATGTACGGGCTGTGGGTGCCGCAGTTCGCATCCTTTTTTTTTGATAACGGTGGAGAAATCCATCATGGATACCCCTGCCTCTTGGAGGAGGCGGGGGTTATGTGAGACTCCTACTCACTAAAACTCTACCGGGGTGTCTACCGATCGGGCCGAAGTGGGGGGAGTCAGGGGAACTGCGTCTGCATTCCCTCCCCGACACCCCGGTCCCAGGGCTCTACGGGAGCCCCATGTCCGATTACCCCGCGCCCTTCCTTCTCCCAGTGGAGTCAGGAGGCGCGGTATCTCGGTCGGTATTTCGACCGGGTTGACCTTCCGGTTTCATATTGGAGAGAGGGGAACACTCACCCTCTCTTCACGCCCCCTCAACTGCTAGCTAGGGGGGGGCAGGGGAGTGAGACCCATCCCCAAACTGGCCTTCACTCCCCCTGTCCTACCTCTACCGGCGCGCAGGGGAGGCGGGAGGGCTCACGCCCTTCCCTTTGCTCCTCCCCCACGCTTCC